TCTCTCTCTCTCTCTCAGTCATCTGGCACAGAATCCCTTTATGTGTGACTGTCACCTGAAGTGGTTGGCAGACTACCTGTTCGACAACCCTATTGAGACCAGTGGAGCCCGCTGCAGCCACCCCAGAAGGCTGGCTAACAAACGCATCAGCCAGGTTAAAGGGAAGAAGTTTAGGTGCACAGGTAGGAGATGACTTCACACAGACACGCCTTCAACACACACCCACAAACAAAGGCAAGCATGTGGGGAGTTAATAAAGAATGTGAATAGAACATAGCATGTATTTCTAAAAACACACATGTTAGTTTATGTGTGCAATTAAAAAATGAAACGTATATGCATTTACTAAAACACACACAAGCATTCACACACAATCTCTATCTCTCTCTGTGGTGGTGTTATATTACTGTTACTTCTTTTGATATGAGCCATGGGTCTCGCTAATTACAACACAGACCAATTCGCCAATACTTGAAGGCAGCACCAAGTAACCAACCAAGCAGGGGACTGGCCATAGACTGTAATCGCCACTTGTGTGAGTGTGTGTCTGTGTATGTGTGTATACACTAATCAGTGCCTTTCTGCAGTGGCTCTCCACGTTGTTCTCTCTCTCTGAAATATTATGCCTTTTTATGGATCGCTGGAAAATGAATTTGTTAAATCCCCTTACAGACATTTACAAACTATTTGAATTGTGCTAGAACAGTGGTTGTAAGCAAATACCACTGTCAACTGTATTAGTTCCAGCCGTCACTTTAACCCGCATATACTGAATGAGATTGTGCACAGAAAATAGTTTTGAGAAACGGTTGCACTACTTTTAATTCTCTTTAATCAGCAGTAGCATTATCCTGTTTGTTTTACAATAGGCAACAAAGTGTAACAGAAGGTATTTCACAAATGTTATCAAGTAGTCACCTTCTGTAACAGAAGTTTTGTTTTATTAGGAGCATAGCCTAAAGAAAAGACAACAGACACATAATGATGAAACAGAACTCATACAAAATATTTGGAACACAGATCAATGCGCTGTAGAAACAAATATGCCTGTTAGACTGACCATTTGGTGACATGAGATTTTAACCCCTCCTGTTCTCTAGAAAAATCACAGTCTAAACTTGGCACACAACAAATAGCATAACCAATACTGTTAAATGCTGGAAGCTTTTATCCAAAGTGCTTTGCTGTGCGAGTACCATGAGCACATTTGGTAAATTTTTAGCATGGAAGGTCTCAGTGGTCTCAGTGCTCTGCCCATGGAGCTACTCAAGATAACTAGATTACAAATGCTTCAAAAGCTGGTTATGGCGGTCCTCTTTGCTTCAGCCCTTCCTATCTGCAGTCCCATGCCTCTCCTTGCATCTGCTCTTCCTCTCTGGACCTGTGTGGACATTTTCGCTATTGGTGGGCAGTCCTCTGGTCCTGTTCCCTTCCTGTGTGGATCTGCAGCTGTCTGTTGCCTCTCCTATCCTGTATGGACCCTGCCCCCCTGACTGATTGGTGCAGCTCTCTGTTGCCCCACCTTCCTCCTGTGTGGACCTGCATTCTGATTGGTTCGTGCAGCTGTCTCTTGTGCTTGATCTAACCATGTGGCCCCGCCTACTGTGACATCACATGGTTCCGTCAAGCGCCAGGGACCGCCGAGCACACACCCACCTGCCTCTCCCAGCCAATCGTACGCCTTGGAGCAAAAACAATAAGGGCTAAATACTGCCTGTGTTTGTTTGCATTTATGTGTAGGGCTTCTGATACATGGGACTAACTTTGGTTGGAGTAAATGAACATCACTGAGCCATAGGCGAATAATTTTACATCAGAATATTTCAGATTACAAAGAAGAAGGAAGCACTGCATGCTCTGATCTGACAGGTGCTCTTTAGTGGGCAGGTGAAAGTACAAAAAACAGAATTGAGGAAGTCTTGCTTGATATTAAATGGTGAAGACAACCATGGAAAAAAACCAAGGTGGAATAATGTAAAACAAAAAAAATGTTTGGAGCACGTAGGCAATCAAACAGACCAACATTTACTTTAAGTCGTCATGAGGGTCTGACAAACACATAATCAGTCTGAATTATATACCAACCGTGGGTGGTAGATAACCCATAAAGGGGGCTAAAATAATAGCATGGGATGCATAGAAGCATACATACCAGTGAATCTACAATAAGGCATAATAACAGTAAGTGATTTACATGAAGTGAATGTATATAGAAATTGGAAAGAAAAACGCTAGGGGTTATGCATTAGGCTTTATGTGTGTATGTATGGGTAGAATGCCACCCACAGCTTCAATTCAGACTGATTATGTGTTTGTCAGAGCCTGATAAAGACCTAGAGCCCATGTGCTTTTAATGTCTAGCTTCAGTGTCTAGAGAGAGGGGTGGGACATTTTGTCAATTATATTATTGTGAAATAATACACACTGCGAGAGACACAGACGCTGCTTGACTTTACTGAGTTCAGGGTAATGACACAGATTACTGACAATAAAGTGTTATAATATATTTCGGACCTCTGTTGGTAGCTCCTTAGCCATGCTAGCTCCTGCAGTTTATGCTCACAGCCCCACCCACACTGTTTCCTGTCCCGCCTGCTTTTCGCCACACCACGCAAGTCCTGCAAAATCTGGCCCCAGACTGTCAGATTGTATAATTGCATGTGCCTCAGTGCCACCTCTGTGTAGGGCGCTTCCACTATTTCTCATCAAACTGAAGAACTTAAAAGAAAAAACGTATACAGGTTTCTTCATTCTCTCCCTCTTTCCTTTAGTATATAAAAACCTTCCTACCCCCCAATTCTTTGCTCTCTTTCTTAATCGTTCCCTTGCTCTTTCAACTTTAGCTTGCCAACTCACAAGGCTTGTGGCAGCCCAGAGATATAATTTTTAGAAATACTGCCACTAAAAGGAGCTAACCGGCCAATTCCCCCAACAGATAGACAGCATTTGAAAAATAGTGATCAAGTGACCGAGTTCAAATCAGGGTTGTTCATTGCAGATTATCCCTCAATAGGTGGTATTAGTTCTTCAACAATGACAAGCAGAAAAATATAGGAACCACAAAGGGTGTGCCAGGAGAGAGGGGAGACGGAGAATGAAAGAACACATAGTCAGTGGCAATATAAGTGCAGTCTGATAGGAGAGTGGTGAAAAACAGAAAAGGTTACATTGACAGAGAACAGATAGACAAACAAGGTTGGAAAGAGAGAGAGGAAGAGAAAGAGGCAGTGATAACCGTGAGAACTATAAAGCGTATATGTGCACAAATACAAGTGCAGCATGATGTAAACCAGGTCTATTCCACAGGCACTAGTGGTCATAAATAATATCTGCACACATTAAATCTAAATAACAGAAGTGGTCTCTGGCTCACCTTGTTAAACACAAACATCCAGGGTTAAACCATATTTATCTGCAAAATGATTCCATAAAACCACATGGATATCTGTTTGTTAATTTGATTTACAGTGGTAGCCATGCAGAATTACCCCTCCCTGCATCGGCCCTGTGCAGTACAGTACCATCCTGCTGCAGCGTGCAGCCTGTTGTTTTTAATAGATACAGTTCATTCATGTCTTCCAGATGACTAGCTGGATAATTATGTTAAATAACTTTTGACTGCTGAAATTTGAACAAAATATAATTTTCCAAACAATTAAACGAGACACAGTTTACATAGATATTCATAACCTGTCAGTGGAAGCAAGACTTCTGACATGGCTACATCTGAATATACATGTGCTCGTTTTCACTATGGGGTGTATATTTATTGGGATAATATGTTGTTCTTCATTATAAGGTATACATAGGAACTTTAACATTTTTATTAAAAACCAATCCAATCAGTCTGTTAAAAAAACTCTGTCTCTGATGTCTTCCTCTCTCCTCCTCCATGTTATCTTCTCTCTTGCTTTCTCTAACTTCTTCCTTCTGTTGAATTCATTTACCTGGCTTCTCTTCTTCCCTTCCCTTTCTGCCTGCTGTCTACCCTTTTGTTGGCCCTCCCTCCCTATTTTTCTGTTTTGCTTATGTCACTTTCTCTTTCTTTTGGTCTTTGCCTCCCTCTTTCCTTCGCAGGTCAGGAGGACTATCGGAGTCGCCTGAGTGGGGAGTGTTTCCAGGATCTGGTGTGTCCAGAAAAATGTCGCTGCGAAGGCACTGTGGTTGACTGCTCCAATCTCAAACTGACCCGTATACCTGCACACATCCCCGAACACACCACAGACCTGTAAGTCAGCTGGTGTTTCCTTCTCACATACATACACATATATTATATGCAATACATGATGAAATATCAGATTTTAAGCCATATGTTAGACTGCTCTAACCTGAAACTATAAACCACCGCACATCTTTTGACATGCCACAGACCTGTCAAGACGTTTTTCACTTTCTCAGGCATATGCACACACCAAAGCTTGAAACATGCACATGCAGTCATGCACAGGCACACACATAAGCATGTAGGCTTGCATACATGCTTAAAGACATGCACAAATGCGCATATGCAAGGCGTGCGCACACGTCTGCCTTTCTCTTGCTGGGTCTCTGCCTCTCTTAGAGCAGTATCATGAACGTCACTTTTCATTTTTAGCTCCCAGACCAAAATGCCTCTCAACAGTCGTTTCCATCTCCCTCAAAGTCCCAAAGGAGCCATCATGATGTCTGGCAAGGGGTCTCACACTAGAATACTGAACAGTCCCATGGATCATTCATTTTCCTGCTAAAAAATGGAAAGGGAGTAACAGATAACACGCAACAGGAATACTATAATCGGATGTTGGAAAAGGTTAAAAAGTCTATACGTGTTCGGAATGCGCGAGACACACTGACACAATAAACATGTTAGTATGCATGAGGTAGGTGAAGTATTATTCTAAGGAATTATGATAATATGAAAGAAAACTGCTCATAATTTATTTGAGCTACAGAAATTAATGCATCACATCAAATATCATGAAATTTCTATGATGTGATTTGAAAGAGAAACAGACTTAAAAACTGCTCAAGTTAAAAACTGAATTTCTGATTCAAAACTGTGGCAGAAAAAAGTGTGTTGCTGCAACAAACAGCCAACCTGATTTTACTTTCAGTACCTGGCACTTTATCGAATATTTAATAAGCTAATATTTTCAAACAGGAAATAGGAATCTAGCCAGAGGCAAAGTTTTACCTAATTATGCTGAATCACTGGCAGCTTTAAAAATGTAGGTGAAGGATGGGGAGCTTCCTTTATGGCTATCACCGTGGTACTAATGGAGAATAGCTGCAGGATGGTTGCCACAGTATTACTTATGGAGGTTAGTTGTATAATGGCGAATTCAAGCATGGCTGCCACTTTAGATAACTAATAATGTCAGTATCCCACAGACCATTAGCACCCTATTCCTCAGTCTCTCTTTCTCTTTCTGTCTCTGCGGTTCTGTTTCTCTCTGTGAACCCTTGTATCCTCCCTTCTTTTATCTGTTCCCAGGGTGCTTCACGTCAAAAATATAAACTCTGTCCTTTATGGTTGGTTAGAGGGCATATCAAAGTTTCTACTATTTTTTGACACCCTCTCTCTCTCTCTTTCTTTCTCTTATTGGTTTTTCCTTAAGAACGCAACCAACTCAGTTGGTTTTTGAAGGCCACAAACATGCACACACAAACACACACACCAGCCTGACAGTTGTGCCCCGTGTAACCCGCCTTATCAGGGGAAATCAGGGGAGTTGTGGCTCAGCTGAAGGCTTATATATTTTTTGCTCTCTTTCTCTCTTCTGTCTATCTTTCTGTCTTTCTTTGTGACTCTTCCCACTAGCTATAAAAATCCTTGACATCGGCCTTGAGAGTGCTCAATAAGTATGAGAGAATTGGTCTTGAGATAATTATTTGCACTCAATAAAGTGTGCTATACACTCTGAGTTAATAACAATGGCTCTAGATCACATGATAAAGAGATCATGAATGTTCTATATATGCGAATCAACCAAGCAGTAAAAGATCTACTTCAAACTTTTCAATATGTTATTTCAGTTTGGCTTCTTCTAGGTTGATCCACTTTTTAACCTCACCTCTGTATCTCATTAGAAAGTGTCCCCTCCAGCTGAACTTTCACTTTCTTTACTCAATTTCTCTCACTCTACCTCTTTCACACACACATACACAAAGAGCATCCTTTTAGCAGCACCCTTTTAGTACAAATTACCTCTATAAAGCAGATGTCTAGCTTACTATCTCTCCAAGTGTTTTCTCTTGGCTTTGGGGCAGTGCAGGTATTGATGACCACATAGAAAAGATTCATTCCTCTCCTCTCCTCTCCTCTCCTCTCCTCTCCTCTCCTCTCCTCCAGTATGTACATTTTTTCCCCTCTTGTTTTGCGCCACATCATACTTCAACAGTCACTAAAGGCCTCTTAACCTTCATACAGTCATTCCTCCCTCACTTGTGTGTTGACTTCAAAGCAGTTTGTTTCACGAAAGTATAAATGCCTAACTTGCCTCCCTCCATCTCTCTCTCCACAGGAGGTTAAACGACAATGAGATTGCCGTCCTGGAGGCTGCAGGGACATTTAAGAAGCTGCCAAACTTGAGGAAAATGTATGTACACTTTTTTAAAAGCGCTTCTTATTTATTTTGTTTGTTGTTGTCCTTATGCTTGTTTTTTGCATTGATTTATTCATTAAATCGTGCATGCATTTACTAAATTTGTCCCCTGAAGAGGAGGAAAAGATGGGTAGTAAAGAGTAAATCTTCTTGTTTATTAGAGTAGAATCTGTTTGTATGTTTGGGACACACATTTCCTCGTCACTTCTCATGGCTTATTGCTCTGATTCAGCCTTTCCCCTGTTATATGATAGAGGAAGGAAGGAATAGCTTTGCAATTACAAGATGACTGAAATGAAAACAGATGGATGAGAACAAATGGAAAGTAGATGGACAGAGATAAGGGATGCAAGAAGAACTAAAAGCTAAGAGGGGGAAATGGAAGGAAGGAGAGAAAAGAAGACAATAAGAAGGGTGGAAATAAAGGAATGAGGACAAGAGCAAAAATGCAAATACACACAAAGAGGGCAAAAGTAAAAATAAGCCAGACACAAGTGAGGGAAGGAGGAAGAGGAGTGGCTGAAGACAAGCAAGAGGATGGGACAAAGGGACATGGAGAGAAAGTGTGAGTGGGAGGTATGGAGGAAGCGAATATTAAATCGAAATAGAAGATGGGCCTTCGCTTCAGATTTACAGTCAGTCCTTATCTACTCTATGTTTGTGTGTGTGTGTGTGTGTGTGTGTGTCAGAGTGAGATAGAGAAAGACAGAGCAGAGACCAGCAGTTGATTTATTGGAGAGGAAATTGCTAACCATCTAGCAGTGTCACTGACGATATAGATTGGCTTGCACTCATTTCCATTTTCCTTCTCTCAATTCCTTCCTTCTTTTCTTCATCTCCACCTCTCCTCTCCTCGCATTTTCTCTTATCTTGCATCCACTTAGCTTATTTTTATTTTATTTTTAAGTTTGTCTGAAATCGTTACTTTTTTGTATCTTTTTTAACTCTTCATCTGTCCGCTCTCTCCTCTCCTGTCCTCTCCTCCTCTGCTGATAAGAGGAAACACACAACTAGCTATGAATGAAAGCTGCAGTGGTTGTGATAGCTATCATCTCAAGTTATTGTCCCCGTGGCCAAATGCTCTCGTCTCATTTTAATTTTTCTCATTGTGTGTGCAAGGAAGAGAGATAACAATCATTTTCCCGTTGTCTGTGACCACTTGTCTCATTTACTTTTATGTGTGTGTGTGTGTGCGTTTTGTAAGTTAAAGTGATGGCTGTAAACTGTCACTAGAATATCTATTGTACAAGATGAGGACATTAAGATGAAAGAGAGAAGAGTTAACATTTATTAGTTGAAGGGACATGATTGATTATTGCAATTAAATTGAGAATATTGTGTATATGTGTAACACTTTGTTCATATGTGTTTGCATGCAGGGTGTTATTTGTCCTGTTCGTGGTAGCAAGCAAGCGGAAAAAAAAACTCAATATGACAAAGAGCTAAATCTGTTCATCACTATTTCTTTGTCTCTGCAGCAACCTGAGCAACAACAAGCTGAGGGACATTCGTGACGGTGCGTTTGATGGAGCGGGTGGAGTTTTAGAGCTGCTGCTGACGGGGAACAAGCTGACTGGATTGCAGGGTCGCATGTTCAGAGGCCTCATTGGCCTGAAAACACTGTAAGTCTTGTTTACAGTCATTTGTGTGCTTTGTGCTCAGCTAATGCTAATGAATGTGAAATATGTAAAATCTTGTTCCTATAACTAAAAAACACTATATAGAGAATAAAATCTAAATGAACATTTATTCTCATGGCTACGTGACTGAACAACCATGATGTAGTGACCATACACCAGTCTTCCAAAGGGTCAGTCAATATGTGTCATACAAATCATGTTTCTAATTTGGATTATTATTAGTTTAGTTGCTATTTTCCCCACAAAATGTCCAGCAAATGCTGTTACGTTCATGACTGCTAGCTGTTAAACCATGCAGACTATTAGTTGTGTTAACATCTGACTTCTGGTGGACTTGATTAGCTTTTTCTTCCCCACACTGAAAAAAAACAAGGATTGTTTACTCACTCACCCTGAAATCAAGGCTAATGACAGCATATTGTTGTTCCTCTAAATTGGGCACCCACCATAAAATAGGCCAACGTCCAATTAGGGGTTACAGGATAGTGTACGAAATCATGAGCTAATGTTGTCTGTGTATGCTCAGTAATGACTAGCTAATGCTATCATGTATATATATGCCAGCTAATGACTCTCTAATGGCATCATGGCTGTCTCTGTATTATGTTAAAAGGCTCCCTGCTCCAGTAATAGCCTTGCTAACTAGGTTAGCCTGTGCCAGAGATTGCTAATGCTAACTAACTCAGTTAGCCTGGTCCCACATGACTGCATGTCAAAAGCTAATGTCATATTACAGACTCTGTCATGGTCGTCCTATGGCGACTGGTTTGAGTTTATCCCTGCTTTCTGTTTTATCTTATGTCCATGTCATGTTATTTTATTGTATAAAAGTGTATACATTTGGTATTTTTCATTCATTCACAAACTGCTCCATCAGAAAAAACAGTAAGAACATGTAAAACATGTCCCTCAGACATCCCTCAAGTAAAAGAAAAGTGATGCGTATAATCAATTCTTGATTCTTTAGTTTAACATTTAAGCATTCAGTCTGAGCATGCGACTCTGAAGTGAACGCTTCAAAGACCAGATTTTATTGTAATGTCTGATCTTCAAGAAAAAACAAAATGTACAAACAGTAACTCTTAGCTTACATTCATTAAATATATATATATGTGTTTCCAGAATGCTGCGGAGCAACCAGATCAGCTGCATTGACAACAGTACTTTTACGGGCCTAAGCTCTGTGCGCCTGCTCTCGCTGTACGACAACAGGATCTCCAGCATCGCCCCAGGAGCCTTCTCCACTCTGCACTCCCTGTCCACCATGTGAGTCATATCTCTGCTTTTCTCCCTCTTTATGGTGCTTATTTTTCCGTTTTGTGTTTTTTTTTCATTTTCATCCTATTATTGTCGCTATCTCTCAAGGTGGGCCACAATCTCTTTTTGTCTATCCTCAAATCTGTCTGAATCTCCCCTGTCCTTTGTCTTTTCTTTCTTTATCTCTTTGTCTCTGTCTCTATCCTCTAATTTTTCAGAGTCTAGCCCTGCTGTGGGAGTTATCTACCATGCACACACACACACACACACATTTGCACACATGTTGCTCTCTGGACACTGTTCTCCTCACAGATGCTCTCCATCATTATCGACTAGATTGGTCTGGATCCCAGGACATTTGTTATCAAAGCTAAATATATCTCAGCATCTGCACACCCACACACACACACACACATACATGGGCACACACAGACACACACACACAAGCATCTGCAAGCTTTTTTTATCTTGCCAAGATGCACACACCTGCTGCGACCAAGTTTTGTGTATTCTTGGATGGCATATTCTTTAACATTGTGTGTCTGTGTGTCTGTGCGGAAAAGTACAGAAACAACTGCCATGAAGTAAAGTTATGACAAGTATTAACCTGTCACATAACATTATTGTTAGGAAGGAGAGAGTGGGAGGCAAAAGAGAAGTGAATGTGTGTGTGTGTGTTTTCTTCAATCTTCTGACCACCCAGATGTGAAGGGTGTAAATAATAGATTTTCTCAGCTCAATAAAACATTAAAGGTTGATTTATATATATATATTTTCATACTGTGAACACGCACATACCAGGTTAAAAAAGGTCTCATCACATCCCCTCTACTCTCTTTCTTTTCTTCCATGCTTCCTTCCTTTGTTCTGCGTTTTGTTCTTGCTCTCTGTCCTGCTACAGTATGTACCCGTCATCTTTGATTCAAGTCTCTACTTGAGTCTTTTGGGAGGAAAGGTGTGAGACAAGAGAGGGAAAATGGGGACAGTGGAGAGGGAGGATGGATGGATGGGTGGCTGAGTGCATGCATTGTTGCATAAACTCAGGTTTGCTCAGTGGGGCTGTTGTTTATCACCACAAAAATGGAAAGATATTATATAACCCTCATCCCTGTCATTTCTCACTACTCATTCTTTTCACTGGCCTTGTAGTAACACTTGCTGTTTGGCGTAAAAGAAAGATCACTCCCTCTTACTATTTCTTATATCGCTCTCCATTTTTAGTGCATTGTTTCCCAATGGAGTTTGTCCATTTAATTAAAAGATTAACACATTGGAAAGGAAGGAAGGGATTTAGCTTAGGCCTGGTTGCCACGCAGCGAGGTCAATTCATTACAAGGAAATGAGGAAATAACTCGTCCCTATCTAGCAGCACACCATTAATATTGTAGCACAAACAGCAACCTTCAGGTTTATTCGTTCAGCAGACACAGTGGAAGGCAATATGCCACTTGCACACCATCATCATTAAACAGATACATGTTACTTTTTAATACACTAATTGTTATACTGCTAAAAATTGAATTCCCTTAGTTTTCCACTTATACTATTTTTGTCAGTGGAAGGTAGGAAAGAGAAAAGTTTTGTTTCTCAACAAACTTCTAATATCGTTATACCACCTTATGTAACATCACCCCTAAATCCTGTTTCTCACAGCTCACTATTGATATTCAAGAAAATGTCAGAGCTACATAACAAAATATAATAATATCATTATTGTTACATTTATGTGTGTTTAAGCTGTACCAGGCAATAATTTCAGTTAAAATCACATTTTATAAGAAAACTGGATACAACAGAAAACCAACGACCCTTGATATTATCTAGCCTGGAGGTGCCAGAAGAGAAGATGCCTACAGTAGAGCACCTTTAACTTAAGTATACCGCCTGTCTAGTATGTGCTGCTGATGCCTCCTCCCACCACTTTCAGTTTAAATATGGTTCAGCATGAATATTACATGAGCAGTGTTACAACAAAATGCAATGAGAGGTGATCAAAAATGAATAAATTGTGCAGATAACCTTTTCTCTTTTCTTTCTCTCTTTCACATTTTCTAACTGCCACCTTTTCTTTTTCATTCTCCATCTCTCTTGTACTTTCCAAAATGAATAAAAAAATAACTGATAACCTTTTCTCTTTGCCTCTCCTTTGTTCCCTTCCTCTCCCCACCTCTCTGTCTTCCATCTAAATGTATTCAAGTGTATGACTGACCAAACAGTTATATTGATGTGGTCTGTAGTGTACATTATTATTTTTAGGAATGGAAATGAAATAAAATTCAGGATAAACTTTTATTAAATTTGCATCATTTTGCTAGGATGAAATCATTAGACTGTGGAAAATATATGTACTGTAATGACTATTGTGCAGCTTCCAGTACTTCTGTCCATTTCTTTCGTTTTGCACTGACCTTGTTAAATGATTTTCTCCTCTCTGTCCCACTTCACATAGTAACCTCCTGTCCAACCCGTATGTGTGTGATTGTCATTTGGCCTGGCTGGGTCAGTGGCTGAAAAAGACCAGGGTGGTCAGTGGAAACCCTCGCTGTCAGAAACCAGCCTTCCTGAAGGAGATTCCCATTCAGGATGTGGCCAACCCAGACTTCACATGTGATGGTGAGCCTCTCTCTCTCGCAGTTACTCAGCTAAATGACTGCTTGTGTTTCCTTTTGGCTTCATTAACATAATTTGAAATAACAATGAATACACATAAAACATTGCTAAAAGAAGATTAACACTGCTAATTCTGTAGAAAATCTATAGGATTATGGATAGCATTTAGAATTACACTGGAGTGTCAGGAAACCATAAAGGTTACAGCCTTAAACCTGGAACAAATGATGTTTGTCACTCAGCAGCCGTGTGTCCCGCACAGATAAGAGTGAGTCAAGTGAGTGAAAGGTAAATTAAATTTGTTTTTGCATCATGTTTACTCCACCCAATTATTGAATGCACTCTTCATTTTTCAAGAAAGACCCTTTAGAGGACATTCCCTCAAGGAAAGTTGTTTTATGTTTGGTGATAATTCCCTAACATAATTTTAAATAAGGGTCTTTTAAAGTGAGACATGAAGGTAGGTCATATTGAAGGAAGGAAAATGTTCTTTTCTGTGGACATTTCTGCAGCACTGGAGCATTGGAGGATGAGCAAACGGTCAACAGAGAATACTTTTTGCATTAAGGTTTTACCCAGAGTGACATACTACAAGCCCTAGGTCCTTACAATCTCCCTACAAAATAAGGGAAATTCTTCTCAGGGCGATTTTACTGATATTACAATGACATTTTCAGGTATGTCAGGTCATTTTGTGTCAAACTTTAACAAGTCTTCCAGATACTCATTGCAAAAGCGTCCATCATCCCGTGTTTTAAGCCAGTAGATACACACTCACACATACACATATCCTGAGCGGGGTATTGTGAGGACAGAATGATCAGTAACCACTGGCAAACAGCAGCCGTAGATGACATCAGCTTGTGGTTTCCTCAGTGACGTTGCTGTTACCACGACGATGCCTGCCTATAGCGACTTAGGCCGTCGTCTTGGCCGCCAAGTTTGACGCCATAGACAAAGTGTGGTCTGGCTCTCCTGTCTATTACATCTTTCTTTCTTTTTTCCCCTTTTTCTTTCTTTGGAGCTTTAAACTCCTCTCGATCTCCCCTTTCTCCTCTCTTTCCATCTCGTTCTGCCTCTCTCTCTCTCTCTCCCTCCTGAGTTTCTTTGAATTCATTACACTTTTCTAATTTCCTGTAGCTGTGCTGCAACCATTTACTGAAAATGACTTTGGAAAGTAGTTAGCTGGGTTGGCTCAAGTAAGGAAACTCTAAGATGGTATCAGATCCTAATATTCATTCTTACGTCTTGCACAAGCACACGCAGACATGTACCTATAAATTCACTCAGCTGCATAAACATAAATTTGAATGGCCGATAACATACTCAAGCCCTTGTAATTCTGTCCTTACAATGATTAAATGTCTAATCTGAACTCCATGCTAATCCCAATTCTAATATAAACCAACATAATAAAACATACAGAAAGTCATGAATGTAATTTAATCTAAGAATTTATGAGCAGGATTACAGATCTGAACTACAGAAAATCGTTTGTACAAAACAAACCTACAATTAATTATGGGTTATTTTCATCTCATAGTCAAACACTTGTGTCTGATGATGGAAATCAAAGATCTACATCATCACCAACATCAAATCAATTGTTCTTTGGCTCAAGGCCCGACTGCCCTCAAAGGTCTGAAGATATCCTGCTGACAGTCAGGCAAACAAACTACCAAATAGGGACAACGTAACCTCTTGGCGACAGTAAAGTGTCTACACTCTGAAGGTGTAAATCAAAAAGTAGTTCTCAGAAGAATAGATGCAAGGAAACACACACACACACACACACAACCAAGGTCCACATGTCCAGTCTATTTATAGCAGAGTAAAATGACTGTTAAGTTGTCCAGAGGCAGCCGGGGGAAAGGTAAAGTTAATTGAATTTGTGAGAAGATATTTAGCGAACATTTAGATGTTAGTTCAATCAGCCAACTGTAGAGTGAGTCAGCCCACGGCTACAACTCCCTGTGGACTCACAAGCTACACACATCAGATAAAACACACACATATACACTTGCACACACTGCTCTACACACATAAGCGCCCATTTACTCGACATTTAGACATTAGCACAATTATAAAACTACAAAGTGAATGAGAAAATGGCCATAGGACAGGGAGAGATAGCTATTTAACAAACTAAACGTGAACCACACTCAGTATGTGAATGTGCATACACTTGTACTCACACACGTGCATGTAAATGGCGGCATACTGGAACAAAGGGACAAACACACAACAATGTATGAATGCATGAACTCAGCTTCTTCTCATTCCTAATCTTTCTTTCTCTCTCCACACACACAAAAACACACACACACACACAAATTCAGATTGCAGTTGTGTTATTATTGGCTTAGTGTCCAGTCTTCATTATCCTTCATTATGGTTTTAACTCAGCTTGTTTTACATTTGGGACCACAGTTCAGCTATTTACATACTGCCTCGCTAGATTAAAGCTGTGTGTGTGTGTTTGTCTGTCAATCAGGGAAATGGAAGAGCTTTTAAGCCAAAAACAACTCTCTAGTCTGTGATCCTTCTTATCTCTGTGTGTTAAATGATTACAATCACTCACATGTGTTTTGTCTCTACCATGTGTTTGTATGCATGTGTGCAGCTTCAGACAGCAAGATTAAAGATGTCAAGTTAAAGACTCAAAATGTACAAATGAACTGATCTTTAATAAAGACGTTTGTCATATAAAGGGCTACATTTTCAGATTATTATGATAAAATGTAATGTAAAACTAAGACAGTATATTTTTTAGGGACATTCATATCTTAGTATGAAAAGGAAATGCAAGTAGTTTCGCTCAAATAACTGCAGGAGTTGTTACTCTATTTACACGAGTTTTCAAAGTTGTTGCTGGCTATCCCATCAACATCTGCTGTGTTTCTCCAAGATCATCTGAGGGTTTTTTAATATCACGGTGACCTGCCTGCAGGTCCTGAGCCAGATGTTAAAACACACCAGTGCAACTGATTTTAGCAGCCCCAGGTCATTTGATATGGATTATAAAATACTCTTTAAAAGTGCTGAGTTGAGTGGAATTGACCATGGGCTACACTTATAGTTCAGTCTTTATCTCTATGCATCCATCTATTTCTTTGTCTTTGTTCTCCCTCTTTTTTTCTCTCTCCAATCTTGTGCCCTAACCTGTCTGAACCTCCTTCCCTCTGTCTGTTACCCTATCACTGTTGCTCTTTGTCTCACCTCTCGTCCTTTTTTGAATTTGTCTGTCCTTCTCTGTATCCTTCGCTTCTCTCTCCTTCTTTCTCATTGTCTCTCCTTAATATCCCACTCTCTGTCCTCCCCTCTCTTTCCCCTCTCTCTCTCCAGGTGCTGAGGATAATGGTTGTCTTCCTGCGTCTGGTTGTCCTGACGTCTGCACGTGCTCAGACAGCGTGGTGCGATGCAGCAACAGAGGGCTGCACTCTCTGCCCAAGGGCATTCCCAAGGACACCACGGAGCTGTGAGTCACACGTGCACGCACACACCCACACACACACGCACACACCCACACACACACACACACACAGACAAACCCAAGGATATATGTGTTCACTTTTATTCAAATATACAGACACACAAAAGCCAATGAACATACCAGCAGACATTTACAAGCACACAAACAGAAGTGAGCATTTTTGTCAATGCTTGCTCTCCAATAACATGCAAAGTCACAACCACACACACACACACACACACACACCTATACACAGTCACACATTGCTGCAGTGCAATATTGATGCAGCAGTTTGCCCCGTGCTGCTTCAGGAACTAACAAACCATTTAGTGAATGCACACACAAACACTCTCTTCCTCTCTTTTCTTCTTCCTATGTGACCTGATGGGTTTACAGGCAAAGTGAGTTTTATGCAGGTGCTTGTGTATTTATGTGTTTGTTTGGATGTTGATGTCATAAATTTATGAATCACTGCAGATATTAAAAACATCTACAATGCACAGTTAAATACTGTCTAATACATTATATTGCCAAACAGAGAGAGAGAGAAAGACAGCCAGAACAGTTACAGACAGCTGTGAGGGGATACCAGAAAGTGCCCTTGGGTTATTTTCTTTAAAATATTTCAATATTGCTGTAAAAAAAATATGCAGTTTCCAATGTTACAATGCCAAAAACATCTCTGAAGAAGCCAAGGTCCACTTTTTATATTTAAAAGACTTGCCAGCACAGTGAAGGTTTTTACTTTTAACATTTGCCTACTACTAATGTGATGTCCTTTTAATGAGAGATTATACTCAAAGAGACACAAGCAAGAGAGAAACAAAGTGTGCTTGTATTTGTAATTACCTTAACAGTTAATACTTTTAATCACATATTTGTGTATATACAGGATTGTCCTGTATATTACAGCTGCTACATCTTGTAACTTGTTTGTCATTAATTTCAAGCTGGTAAGAATCACTGTAATAAAGAAAGAAAGAAAGAAAGAGACCAATAAAGGAAATGTCTATAATGGTAGTAATTGTCAGAACTGATGTAGGATAAAACAAGGATAAAACAATGTTAATCAAGATTAGGAAATTCAGAAGAAAGTAGGAACAAAATGTCTTGTAGGAAGGTGAATAATTGCACACACACATGAGCACACACCCACACACAGAAACCCCTCTTGCTGTGAAATAGGCCTGCTCTACGGGGTCAATAGCAGTGATTAGGTATTGATCAGGCTGAAGAAGACACTCCATCATACTGTCCACATGACCTACTTATGACCTGAGAGAGAAAGAGAGAGAGAGAGGAACCAGCGGATCATAAAATGTGTGTGTATGTGTGCATGAGTGAACTTGTTTCTCACAGACACAGAAGGATCAGTAGGTGAATGGTGTGTGTTTGCAGTGGTTGGAATATGTGTTTAAAGCTACATGATGAAACTGTTCTGTTAGTGCCACACTTCTCCTCCTCAGCCAGGCAGGTTCGCGCACCAACACTGACTTGTTATCTTGTCATCTTGTCTCATCTTGATTGGCTGTCTGGTGAATTCAGACGTTCAGTACGTGAAATCGTACTTATGCAGAAAATGGAACATGTGCCTAATTTCCACTGCACGGTACGGCTGTGGTCAGCTCGACTTGCTTGGAACTATTCATTTTTGGTTTTCCAATGTTAAAAGTTGTGGATACTAGCTGGTACCTAGTGCTTTTATTTTAGTCAAGGTTCTAAGCAAGCTGAGCCGACACTCCAGGATATAGTGAATTCGGGATCCTCCTGTGCTAGTGTTTGTTGAAGATAATGACATAGCAGTTTCATGCTATGTTACTATAATAATCAGCTAAGAAATCTTGCCTACATTGAAGGGGTACTATCTGCAGTGGAAAGTGAAATCTAGAAGTACCTTGGTACCAAAAGTTGAGCCAAGCCATAGCATGCAGTGGAAATGAGGTACTAAATGTCAAAAAGCAACATTTTGTCTGGTGCCATACATGACCTACCATATTTAAAGAAATACTATTTTTGGGAATACAAAGTATTCACCTTTTGCCGAGAGTTAGATGAAAACAGACAGTCTGCAATTAGCTTAGCTTAGCATAAAGACTGGAAGCAGGGGGAACCAGCTGGTCTAGCTCTGTCCAAAGATGATAAATATGCATGCCGACACTCACAGAGATCCTGCACAGAAGTGCTGGGTGCATGTTTTGAAGTTTAGAGAGAGTCACACTACCTGTTTCCCCCTGCTTCCAGTCATCATGTTATGCTAAGCTAAGCTAATCACTTAAACTCAGCTCTGACCGAGTGGTATTGATCTTCTTGTATCTAACTGTAATTAAACAAAAACATTTTAAAACTATTCCTTTAATTTTTACCCTGTTTGGTTTGTAGCTGATCACATTCACATAGCACACACCTGAATGTCAGAAAGTCTTACTCAGAAGACAGTACACTCCTCTGGTAAATGTAAATAAGCCATATAAATGTAGATTTGAGGTACTACACCTCATTCCAGCCCAAACTAACACCCCCCTCCACTCATCTGCCTTTCGTGTCATCCGTCTCTCACACTTTTTAATGTGGCAGAAGTTGCAAAACCAAAAGTTTTATGTGTTATATTGACATTTTCTCACCCCCATGTAATACATACTACATTAACTATGCACCTTTCCTTGCAGTTACCTGGAGGGTAATATGCTGACATCTGTGCCCAAGGAGCTGGCAGTCCTGAAGCAGCTGTCACTGGTGTATGTACCGCTCACGTAACCTTGAACAGAATACACATACAGTATCATTGTTGAGACAGTTTAGCAACCTAACATGCATATAAGCAGTATGTTCTGTCTGCATGTGTATTTGTCTGTGTGCATTTACCGTATGCTCGTACCTACACAGGGACCTGAGCAACAACAGCATCAGCACCTTGGCCTCGTACACCTTCAGCAACATGACTCAACTAGCCACACTGTAAGTTACCATGGCAACGCGCACACCCAGCCATGCATACGCACATCCCCGCCCATATATGTTGTCATATGGGTTGTGTGGGTGTGTGTGTGTAAGGCTAAAAATCACTTGATAAATCAGTGTTTTCTCCTCTTAACTTTGATTAATTACCCTATCTCCTCTCCTCCCTATTTCTTCATATTTTCCTTCGTCTTCTTTTCTCTCCCATTTCTCGCCTGTGTCTTCATCTTTCTCTCCTCTTCTCATTTTGTCTTTCTCACTTTCCATTTTACTTCTCTCATTTTCTAGCTTTTCCACCTCTGTCCTCCTTTTACCCCCAATATTTTTTCCACTCCTCAGTCTCATTTCAAGCTTCTTTGTATCTTCGTCTTGTCTTATTTCATCTTTGTTAACACACCTGCAGTATTTTGTATTCCTATCTTCTTGTTCCTTTCTAAAACTGTCCTTTTACTTCTCTGCCACTCAATTAACCTGTTAAATTATAATCTACTTTAGCTCCTCTTAACTTTCCCTCTCTTCAACACTTTTCCACCTATCTTACATATACATTTCTTTTAATGCTGGAGTGATCTGAAGTTTGTGTCTTTCTGACTTTACATTATCTATCTTATCTATTACATGGATTTTAAATCAACTTACAGGAATTTGTGTGTCCAGGGAAAGTTGACTGTGCACATTTGCCCTTTTCCCCCCATTTCATTCAGTCAGACCTGGGAGCTGCCCAGTGAACCCACAGGCTTCTACTGTTAGCCCACAGATAGCATCAGTGGAACACTCTCTGAGTTAAATGCCTTGCTCAAGCACACCTTGCCAAGAGTTGAAGAGGCAAAGGAGAGTGTTTCACTTTCCACATTGGATTTTCTGAATCTGTTGATTTATTGGCTTTTAGGCTCCTTTCCTTAACGTCTATGCCAATTGTGTTAACCTGAAGTGAGAGATGAGAAGTTTTTTTTCCCTCTCTTTCCTCTGAGACACCTTTGGGCCTATTGAAAATCAGTATGATGAGGCACCACTTTATTGTGGAGCGTCATGAGGCAAAAACTGCTGAGAACCAATTTTCTATAGGCTATCAGTGTCTTTAAGATATCAGACAGCAACAGTCAGCTTTTTACACCAGGACCATTATTATGCTCAATGCTTAATTATGTTAAAATGATGACAGCACCCTGAAATGGCCAACCTGATCTCATTTGACCCTAATCAGAATTCTGTCCTTAAATTTTTGTCTCCTTCACTTTTATTCATTGTTAAACTTAATTTTTGATTCATTAGCAGTCTTAAAAAGAGAAAAACTTAACTGTGGTGTGGGAGTTTGACTTTACAAAAACCTGAGCTTTGCCTCTGGCAGTTTTCGATCTCTACCTATTTTTCTACCTTATTTGAATTATGGCCTTTTGTTTATTTCCCCTTGTTTAACCTACAGTGGCTACAGGTTCTCTATTAATTTATTGTAAAACCAAATCTGCTGTGTCACCTCTCATTTCTTCCCTCTTCTTTGTCTTTTTACCCCCTCTGTCCCTCAACATTAATTTTTATGTATTTAGGGATGTAGTCTGACAAGACAAGAGAAAATCATTTGAAATGAGTATATCACAAAATACTAATAGTGTGAGCATCCTGAGTCAGAAACTAAGTCTTGTGACCTTGTTCATGTCCTCTGTTTTCCAGCATCCTGAGTTATAACCAGATTCGCTGCATCCCGGTTCATGCCTTCGACGGGCTCAAGGCACTTCGCCTGCTGTGAGTAGCAAGCTTCATCTTCAAGTGCCGCAGTGGATTCAATATTCATACACTCCCTTTTGCTAGTTACAGTACTGAGCTAAATCAAAGTTTAATCACTCCCCTGGTGCCAGGCCGAGTGCCATGTTAAGACCCAGTCACAAAATGAGTCACAGCCACCCAATCATTTGTTGTTTCAGGGTACTAAAAAAGATAAAAGTGACAATCTCTCATCTCCTCTTTAATACTCCCTCTCTATCTGCATGCTCTGGCCCCTCTCTCCCCTTGTGTCTGTCCCTCTCTCTCTTCCTTTTCTCTCTCTCCCTCTCTCCGCCCAATGTTGTGTTTGACGAATCGACCTTCAGCCTCTGTTTCTCTCAGTCATCCATCTGGTTGTCCACCCTCTGTCTCACAAGCCCACATGCGCACACGCACAATGTGCACATTAATATTGCTGTCGGACCATCCCCTCACACACATGCGAGCAGCTAGACACACACAAACACGAATGTGTGTGCTTTTCACACACAAGTATGAGCACACACCTGCACCCTCATTGCTCAATGGCAGCAGAATTTACTTTTGATTATTACGCGTGCCATTTGTAGCATTTTTAAATTAATCTTTAACTTTAACTTTAATTTAACTGTGATACGTCAATATATTAAATAAATCTGTGATTAAAGAGTAACTTAACAGTTTATTACGCCCTCTCTGGTTAAAAGTTTCAAGCCTGTTTCACCTCTGACCACACCCAGAATCACTAATGGGTGTGGCTTCGTTTGACATGTAACCACAAACAACAATGATGTCACAGTGTCCTGGAGTACATGTTTACATCAAAGTGAGAAGTTTAATCACTGGACGTCAGCGAAAACAAGATTTTCAAAGGGATAGGAAGAATAAGATACTCTTTAAGATAATTTATTTCTCCTTTTTTCAAATGAGAGAAACATGTATGCCACAACTTCTCTAATATCCACCTCTGAGATTTGTACCTACATCCCAATATGATGGAGGTGAATGGAATTTCTAGATTTTTTTAAAAAAAGCATCAGCTTGTTTTTTGGACAGTGTCTGTTACTCTTGCAAAATCTGAAATATTTATACACAGTATCAATGGCAGCATCAATTCTGATATTCTTCATTTTGTTAGTAATACCATTGGCTCATAAATACAAAGGTAAATATGATATTGGTAGAATTTCCCAATTGTTACAAATAACTTTCAACTTAAACCCAACATCAAGATGAAATAATGATTTGAGATTTGAGTTTTGCCTTGTATCATTCTCTGTAGACATTTCTTCCTGAACTTTGGCCACCATTGTTTGTTAAGAAAGAAAAAGTCAGTGTTTTGCCCTCCAAGAAGTCGGCTTTGTTTCTGGCCTTTCTCTTTATATCGACTGTATCTCTTACGAGGCTTTCACCTTGCAGAAGTTTAGTGATCGTTTTTTTTTCTTCGCTCCTTTCTTCCTTTCATTTTAGTTGATGTTGCCGTGGGGACTGATCCCTCTCTGCCCCCGCATAGCAACTGGTTGCCAGGCAGCCATCACTGTCACTTCCTCATTACCCACAACCCCCTCTGGGCCAGCCTTACGCGGGGGCTGTTAGACCACCATACACAGATGCACAAACACACACACACACACAGTGATGCACACAAATGCGTAAACTTACACGGGCACACAGACATACACACACAAACCTGTGCACTCTGGTACACACTGACCTGAACATGCGCACAGTGAATTATGCACACAAACACACACACACACACTTTTCCAATAGTGGTGGTTTGATAGCTGTCCCCTGCTACAGCCCTTTGCTCTAATGGAATGTGAACTTATATCCAGCAGGCAACACACTCAAATGGCTAGATACAAAGGACACACACACACACACATACATACCCACACTGCAGTTTCTGAGCCCTTGGAGACAAAAGTTTCAGACACATACGCACACATCTACACACTAAAACACATGCACAAAAACCCAAAGGCACAAAACAGAAATGCACATGCTCACATCGATACACATCACAGCCTGCAGTTTGTCCCTGTGACACACACACACATACACACACTATAGATGACCGTATGAGACAGTTTATTTTCCATTCAGAGACCAGGACAAGCTTTATTGCCCAACACTGAAAATAAGCTTTCTGTTTATTTCGTGTTATTCTTTCATAAATATTTTATTTATTTTCCATTATGGAGGGGATGATGGTGTGTCTGCAGCTGAGGAACTACAAATAATTTAAATAATTTAGCATGCAGCTAGTCAGGGTTGGTGTATTAGCCTGCTGGAAATTCAGTATTAGGCAGCGGGGCTGTCAGTTTCATTTACTTCTGATATGATGGATATGAGGCAGTAGGTTTGTTGAGATATTTATTGTAAAATTAGTCGATAATGCACTTGTCTAAAAATAGACCAGATACTAGCTGCTCTGTCAGCGTTCTGTAAGTACAGTAGTAGAAGTAATAGCATCCTAGTATGAGTGTAAGTAGATGAGGAAGTAGCTGTAATAACTAAATAGTGCTTTTAATATTATTCTTACTTGCTGCAAAAAGTGTGATTGTAAAGAAACACTGAATGCTTCATCAAATTAATTAACTACACATTAAAATTAACAATGGGTCAAAAAGTGACCTCTTGAATTTGTAACAAGGTCAGTTTTGTGTTTAATATTCATATACACCCTTGTCTTGCTCTCTATTCCTCTTTCTCTCTCCTCCAGCACTCTCCATGGTAACGACCTTTCAACCATACCAGAAGGAGCTTTCAACCACCTCACCTCTCTGTCCCACCTGTAAGTACAGCCCCATATATCTTTGTTTGTTTGTGTGTACAAGTGTCTTGGATGCAACTGTTGTGGATTACACTTTTAATTGTGTGTGTCCAGGGCTCTTGGTGCCAACCCCCTGTACTGTAACTGTGACCTGCGCTGGCTCTCTCAGTGGGTTAAGGCTGGCTTCAAAGAGCCTGGTAAGATCACAAACCAGATGCTATTAAAATACCTTTAACCAAAATATTGATATATTGTCTGTGTAAAAGAAGATGCAAAATATGCTGTTGATGTCGACTAAGTGTGTTTTTGTAGGAATTGCTCGTTGTACAGGACCTCCTGACATGGCTGACAGGCTCCTGCTCACCACACCACTCAACAGATTCCAGTGTAAAGGTAAATAGTCTCCTCTTTATTCTGCTCGCTGCTCTACTTTTATATTCCGTTACCTGCCCATTCATATCAGTGTTGACCTGTTTTAGCGCTGGGTTAATCCCTAGATTCAGTCAGATTAGTACATAAGAAGGTGTTTAAAAGAATCATGTCAATATCAATTATACTGAGAGTGAATTAGTGCAGACTTTATTACAGTACCTGAGCTATTCCATCTCAGTCACAATACCTCAGCAAAGTCCTGATTTTGCTCCTTTTTAGATTGTTGAACTATTTTATCTTTGAGTTGATCTTGTACTTTTAGGTTGTTGATTTACACTGATTCGGTCTTTATGCATGTATGTCTTCTGGCCAATATTTGGATTTTTATCCAGTTTTAGTGATGTAGGGCTGCCAGTGGTTATATATTTACATGATAATGTGAATTGTAGATCAGCACTGTTGCTAATCCAAAACATTCAGATTATGAAGATCATTAAAATAGCCCATTGGTGGAGTGTGTTTCTCTGAGAATCAGAATCACTTTTATTGGCCACATATTCGTATACATACAAGGATTTTGACTTCGGTTTTACATTGCGCTCAATATACATACAAAGAAAAGGAATACATACAGCAAAATAACAATGTTGACATAAACTACTATGTAAATATATAATGGAAATATACATATAAACCCTCTCACTATGTAGGCTAGCTGTGTGGTACACTATTGACCTTTCCAGGCTCATATGCTCATCCAGTGCATGCTGGGACTGGCTCCAGAAGAATTTAAACTTGTGGTGTTTTAGTGTGGTGTCGTTCTGTTCTGTTTTTTTATTTAGTTTATTGAATGCACTTCAGATTCATTTTCAGGCTCAGAGCCAGCAAACAGCTAAGACTAGGAGTGGAAGGCTCTAAACTAATCTTTTTATTTTCACTGAGCCTCTTTGAGTTACTTCAAGGTATTTGTGTAAATATTACAGTTGTTATGTTCCTTTTTTCTGAAAACTAACTTGCCAGACAAGGGATATTGTTTAAAATTCTGTGTTTTGATTGTCTGTGCTTTCGATAATCTCGGTCCATAATACAGAGCATTGCCTATGTTCATAAATAAAAAACAAGTGACAAAAATCCTCATCCCCTCGGTTGTATATTACTCATACCGGACAGAGTGCAGGAGCAGCCAACCTCTTAACATTAGCTGCCCCAGGGCTCCCCTGCTATAAAACCAGATGGTAAAAGACTTTCCTAAGAAGACTTTTTACACATGTGAAAAACAATACATCTTGAACTGTATTAGGTTTTCAGCAAGAAAGTAAGAGTTTAAAGTAGACTGTGACTCAGGTACTGAGATCAAACTCTTGTTGAGGTATCTAACATCATCAAACTGAATCAAAAACTCTCTTCCTCTTGCTCTTGTTTCTACATGCCCTGGCCTCTGAAACAAATCACATTTATTGCTCTACTAAGCTCTTACGTTTCTTATCTTGTAAGACCTTTTCTTGGCACACCATCCAATAAATGAAGTCAGTGGGAGTGCCTTTTAGCACAATATGACTAAATATATATGTATTTTTCCCCTCTTTCTCTCCCTGTATGTCTTCTTATCTTCATCCCTCCTTACCCCCCTTCCCTATTTCTTCTCTCATCTGCTTTGTTATCTTTCTCAGGTCCTGTAGATATCAGTCTGATGTCAAAGTGTGCCCCCTGCCTGGCAACACCCTGCCAAAACAATGGTACCTGTGTGTCTGATGCTACTGGATCCTACCACTGCACCTGTCCATATGGATTCAAGGTGAGATGCACGATAGCAGCAATATTTTATCTCACTTTATAAAAAACAAATTAACGCACATAATGGGCACTACTTAGCTCCACATGTGGATGCTCCCATGCAAATTTATATATTTATTTATTGCTTTGGTAAATCTAGGGTGATAAGCATTTCCAACGTGGCTCATCAAGAGTGAAAGTTTATTTTAGCAGGTGTAAAAGCTGTACAACTCAGTCCTTGAACCCTGACAATGTTAGTGCCATGTTCTATCTCCTGGTCCCTAGTACCAGCTACCTACACTGTCACATAAACAACCATTATTTGGTAGTTCCTTTACTAAAGCTTGTAAATGATGTGATCCAGAAAATGTTTTGCTTTTGCTGCCCGATTCATGGAATTGGCTGCGTGTGTGAAAGGTATCCTACTGATGGATAGCCATGCTGCATAAGCCTGTGGTATTAGCAGTATTATCAGGCTTAGCTTTGGCCTTGCATGCATAATGTATCTACATGTTCATCAATAGAGAAATGATGACTGCAGCGGGCTGCACTGGAGGTATCGACTGATCAAAAGACAGGGGGTGTAATAGTTGTCAAGACCCCTGCATCAGGGAAGACATGCAAATCTGCTAGTGGTGGGGTGATTTGCATTGGAGGATGTATGCACTGGTGTGTGCACATGTGTACATGTCAGATTACCTACCAGTTTGTTTGCATGTGTGTGTAGAGATCAATGGGTTCAAACCTCTGTGGGAGTTTGTGTGTGTGTGCAAGCACTGTAAAGATACACTTATGGCCTCGTGTGTACACACACACCTCATAACCTTTGGGCTTTTACAGCAGGACAAAGCCTTAATCTCGCTTTTAATTAAAACATCACTTGCCAAGGTCATAGACTGGGAAACAGGGACTGCTGGGTGTGTGTGTTTGTGGGTGTGCGTGTACATGTCTGTGTGTATGTTTTCCTTTCTGTGTCGGCATCCACTGGGACAACGTTAATTAAAATGTGTTGGAGGAATCAAAGAAGGAGCAGCAGAGAACAAAGGGGAGAGAGAGAGAGAGAGATGTATGAGAAAAGAGAAATAAATGTTGGAGTAAAGGGGTAAAGAGTTTGAAAGAACAGAATAGTAAGAAAGACAGAGCGATGAAAAGGAAGAGAGAGTGAACCAAACATAAACAAATGGCTACAGTAAAAAAGAAAAAAGAGGAGGAAATAATGAAGATGGATGGAGAGGGAACACAAGCATAAACAGCTTTGATCAGAGGAAGTGGGTGTGTTGGTGGCCAAAGGTTTGGTGGTTTGAAATTAAAACTACAGCCGCAGGGCTCGACGTGGAGAGTGTGTGTGTGTGTGTGTTTGTAGGACTCTGATACATGATCTACAGTTCATACAGTGAAAGTTGTTTATTTAGAAAACAGGTGTATGGTGAGAAGAAGAATGAATCAAGGCAGTAGGCTGCGTTATGCCTACATGTGTGAATACTGCAAGAAACACACACATATGTGTTAATAATAGAGTGTGTGTAAAAGAAAAGGAACATTAATAAAAGCTTACTGGGAAAGTAGAGCGATGGTTTAAGAAAATGTTGTATTTTTAGATTAACCAACCAGAATAGATTTATTCAACCCTCTATCTCTCTGCAGGCTATTTTCTTTTGCAACGAAAGTTTTCATAAATCTGTGGTCTCAAAATTGAATAACAAGTTAATTACAAGTGCAAAAAATAAACAGTAACTGTCAGAACTTTAAGCAATGGAGAAATAGGCCCGCATTGTTTTACTCTTTTTGTAGAAATAGCATCAACACCTACAGACAACACTGTGTATCACCCTATTAATGTTTAAATTAAAGCTGATTGAACCACTGTGATTTGATGCTATAAAAAAAATCCATAGTGGTTGTAAATATTGTTTAAATATATATATTTGAATTTGATGAACAGTAACAAGTCGTTCTGCCTGACTCCTTACAGTACAGTAATGCACAGGAAGGTTCAAAAGGCCCACTGTCCCTTTCCTCACAGGCGTCACAACTACCTAGCAGGAGTTTTCTTATTGTTATTGTTTGTGTTTATTATTCCCATCACAAGAACACTTCTAACTGTATTCCTGCGAGTGCTTTTACCCCCTGCACCTAAGAGTCAGAGGGAGATTATTTCACAAGGTCTGTGTAAAAAAAGTGAAGTGATTTGAAAGCACCCATGGACCGTTTGTTTGAACAGTGAAATTATGTCTGAAAGAAAAAATATCCAACTTTCAATTATTAATTTTTTTGCCCTTCCTCTCCTTCAGGGTCAAAACTGTGAAATACCCATCAATGCCTGTATAAGTTTCCCCTGTTCTAATGGAGGAACCTGCCACATTCAGCCTGGCCACCAAGACCACTTCAGGTATGTCTGTTATTAACTAAGATGTCTCATATAAAACATGCTGTAGTTCCAATGACTTTGCATGTGGGTGTGTTTATGTTACCAACTAGTCTAGTACACTAGTCTTGAAACCAGAAACCATTCATTTAGTCTTTTTGTCCTTATAGAAGAATGAAAAGAATAAAACAAGAAAGAGTCATTTTAAAGAAGTCCTTTGGGAATTCATATTCGCTGTGGGTCAAATCTTATTACCCTCTCTACCCTGCTGCCCCTCTCTATTAGTGGAGACGTTTTAAAAACCTCACTCTGTATTCTCATGAGGGAGAATTAACTTTACCCTGCCCCCAGAAATATAGACAACATGATTAGAGTGGACAGTCTTGCCTCACTGGACAATGCATTACCCGAGATAACTTACCTCAACCTCCTGATGTGTTTCCTGCCTGTTGTGGGGTGGGGGAGTTAGACAGGAAGAGAGGGGACTTTTCAGTGGAGGAAGTCCCATTATGGCTGCTCATTAAATCCTTGTGCCCCCTCTGACCTCCTCACTCTCTTAAAGGGGCAATTTAACATGCTGTTGCTGTTGTTGTCCACATCAGTGTTTCTGCATTAATCTGTTGACAAACAGTTTCCATAATACAAAAGTCTGTACATTTTTTGTAAATGTGAGCTGTGGTTTAACTTTTAGTATTTAGGAATGAACAAAGAGATGTGTAAGGACTTAAGCGTCATGTAGACTCGCCACTGCCGACCTGTCGCGCGACAACGTGACGTCACGGGAGCGCCGTAACTATTTATACTTGTTCGGCGCGGTGGTGTGGTCGCGACACTAGTTGCAGTATTCTCCGAACACAAGAGGGTGTCGCAACTGGAGTAAAGCTACCGACTTTGTGTTTGCTACGCCGACTAGAAGGAAGAGAGAGAAAAGGTACAACGAAGGGATGGCGGCTCTCTTTTTGAGTTTGCCAAAATCGGTGCGCGGAGTTCTTCTGAGAATGTCCGGCATAAGGCTCTCTTCTCCAGACATTCATGGAGATTTCGTCGAATGTTGGAATCTCTGTGTTCCTTCAGTGAAAGATTGTGACAGATGCCTGTAAGAGGCGCACTTGCTCGCGAAAGCTTCCTGTTTCCGGTTTGGCACGCTCAGCTGAAAAAAAAGAGTAGTGCGGCGACCTCGCGGCGAGCGGGCCAAAATCCTGGCGGCGCCAGCAGGTCTTACGTCATTTTTGATTGTCACTAGTTCGCACGACAGGTCTCAAGCGGCATGCATACTTGGGCCTTAAATCTATAGTTGTTTTTTTCTTCAGTTTATTGTCTTTCAAAAGAACTGTTCAGAAGGGAAATCTTCTGTAATTACCTCCAAAATATTCTATATCAACTGGAAAAATAAATTCCTCCTCCTCAGTTAACAATTAAAAGCATTTCTGCTATCTAGGGTTTCAAGCTGATGTATAACAAGCATAAACCCACCATCCATAATGTGCTTGACCTCCTTTATCCATTTATATTCATCCAGAGAAAGCATACTGCACTTGCCTGCTTCTTTCCAGGAACCCCTGTTTCACATTCATACAGTTTCACACATTCACACCCGGGAGCTGCCCAACACAATCACAGTTTGACTCTTGGCTGCAGAGCAGCTCCACTGGAGACGTTGGGGGTCAAGAGCCTCTCAGTGGCAGTTGTTGAGGAGTGGAGAGTAGAGCTAATACAGGATCTAAAACTTGCTTCTCGCACCTTTGGGCTTCTGCTGCATTTTTCCACAACATGACAGCTTGAAATTCTGTAAATGATTTGTAGAATTATGAAAAAATCTTCAAAATATTAAAGCCTGCATTTCCCCTGTCCCCTATCATCTCATAATGAATCCCCAAGAAACTAAAGTAAGTTAGTTCCAAGTTAATTTGGAAATAAATGCCAAGAGACAAAATATAACTCTGTTTGTAGACCGCAGGCCAAAAGTAATCAAAATGGCCACCAACTATTTAGAAATATAATCAATTAAAACAGACTTTAATTTGGTGCATTTTTAACAACAGCCCTTTTGCTATTAAACTGAACCAAACCACATTAAATACACAATATTTTGCACTCTTCAAAAACTCTTTGAAGGATCAAGGAGGCAGCCTTGGATGTGAGATTCTTTATATTAAAAAAGAAAAAAATCAAATAGTGTACATTGTGCATGCTTGATAATTGTCCAAACATGTGTGTGTGTCTGCATGCACAAGCATCCTTGTGCCTGCCAGGGTCATCCGTATCTGTCAAAAATCCCTCTTTGTCCCAGACTCATGACAAACAGCCACTTTGATTGAAACAATTGTCATAAATACCTTAACCAGATTTGTCCCTTAACAAGGCCTTTGCCCTTTGTAGTCCTTTGATGTGCATCTGGCCTTTAACGTTCTGCGTGGTAATGCTATTAAGGGTCTCTTTACCCTTTACAGATCTTCTCTTAATGTTAATACCAACACAGGTATAGATACTTGTGCCCTCTGAGAGACACGGAGAGAAAGACAGAACGAGTGGGAGACCAGACCCCTTTGACATTTTAACATGTTATATAATCAGTTGGGGATATTCAATAACTCCAATTAGCCTCGGTTCTTAGCAGGAACCCATTTGTCAAACTATGTACTTTAAATGTCAGGACTGGGATTTGATTAGTGAAGCAGTGCTCTTTGACCCTGTCGGTGCAGCACTTTTCATCTCATTTGTATTTTTTTGTCTTTTGTTTCTCTTTTTTCTCTTTCTCCTTTATTGCTCCTCCTCTTTCCTCTCTCTTTTCTTTCTATATAGACAAATGAGTGCTTATTACCGTAACAAATTTACTAAATTAATCCAATTAAAATTGTTACCAATCCCAAAGCCAACATTGTATTTGTGCAATAAGGGTACGTGTATGATGTCTCAAGTTAGAGGAGTCGTACATGCTTTTTCATGGCAGGTTTGTTATTGACACAAATGAGACAGGTGTACTTTTTGTAACTGAGACATCCAGTTACCTGTAGCATGAAGCAGTTTTTCATAGTTTTAAATGTGTATTAAGTGAAATTGGTGATATTTATTTACATTACATACAACATTTATTAGCACCCGTTGCTCCAGCTCAGTACAGCTTTTAGCAGGTTTCTGGGCACATTGTTTTAGTTCTACTGGCCAACACATAGTCTATCGTTGATATTTATAATTTGCATACTTATAGTTTGTAGTTATCCAGGTGTTGATGGAGACAGCTAAAAGAAGAGTGTATATGGTGTAAAAAATATATCTAATGGGGTTCATGTTGTTTCTATCTGTCTGCTGTATGCATAAGTAGGCAGCTTGATACTAGTATGTTATAGTTTAATAAGCTCATTGTATCTCAGGGGCTTAGGGGCTTTGGAGTCTTTATGCAGTTTTAAACGCAGCCTTCTGAAACCAGCAGACAGACAGGGTGGGGGTGAATATCATATATGGTGTGGGAAGAGGGCGTTAGCGTGAGGAAATGTCTGTGAGGCACAAACTTTAGATTAGAAAAGTCAGGGTGAAACAAAAGGAATCAAAAATCAACGAAAAAATAGAGTACGTTTTACAGGTGCCAGGGAATGGGAAGGACAGATACAGTTTTGGAAATAAGTGTGTCTGTGTGCCTGTGTGCCTGCGTGTGTGTGGGGGGGTTGATAATTGTTACTCACTTGTGCTGAATCGACTTTCCCCTTGCTTAATGTGTTACAGTGACCTTGTTGTAAAACCCCTTTCATCCAATAAAAGCAACTTGTCTCGCTAGTGTAAGGAGAATAGAGAGTCGTGAGAGAGGGCGAGCTGTTTAGTGCAGCTGTGGTCAGATTTCTCAAACACTGTGTGTATGTGTGTGTGATCGAGGGAGGGGTGATCTTTACCTGAAGGTGCTGTGTGTTTTTGAGTGCATGCGATCTATCGTAAGGAGTTAACCGGACAGAGATAAGAAGGGTGGGAAAAGGGGAGAGAGATCAAGGCCTGTTGAGAAGAGAGGAGGGAGAAATGAATCTGAAGATGGGGGAGCAAAGACAGTGAGAGGAGGGAGGAAGATGAATGAAGGAGGAGGAGGAGGCTTTGATCATTCCTTAAGAGTTACCCAGGTGGGTGGTGTCCAACAGCAGTGGCATCAAACTAGAAAAAAGTTTATCTCAGCATGTTTTTTCTCAGCTCTGGGTGGGGTGTTTTTGCTGCCCTATTAGACAGTAACGTTTACATTTGATGTTCATTAATAAAACACCCCCCAACAAGAAAGACGAAGATGAATCAAAGGACTGCGTTTAAAAGAGATGACAGCATCTCTCAAAATTTTAGTGCAGAAGAAGATAGTCAGGGAGGGTTTGTGTGCAGCAGTAATAGTTTAAACTTTGAACAGGCATGTTAAAAATTCATTTCTGCTATAAAATGAGGCATGAAATGGTGTCTCTTGTTGGGCCACTCAATATAGATATGCTGTGGCTCCAGTGATGTGTAAGAACCAGCACAGTTAGAAATCCCCACTAGAATACAGATTAAATTGCTTTTCTTTAAAGCTCTTATAGGAGAATTTAAGGGGAAGTGAAGTTGAGCAGCTGATTGATCTGGCTGATTGATTTTATTTCAAGTTGTACAGCAGGAGTGTGTGCTCTGATCCTGCCACAGTCACCATCTTATAACGTGCGTTTTGTGTGTGTAGCTGTGTGTGTCCGCCAGGTTTCGAAGGCCAACGTTGTGAGGTAAACCCAGACGACTGTGAAGACAACGACTGTGAGAACAACTCCACCTGCATAGACGGCGTGAACAACTACACCTGCGTCTGTCTGCCCAACTACATAGGTATACACACACACACACTTACGCACGCACGCACACCATCTATTTATGCACTCAGTTGTTCCTGAAACCCTCAGTCTTTGCTCCTGAGAGACTGGGAGGGTCAGCAAGTCCCTCCACTACCGCACACACACACAGAAAATCATATTTTCCACTTTACTGGATGGTAAGTTAGTAATGGACAGCCTCTCCGCAGTGACCTGAAACTGTTCCTACAGGAGGTTGAAAGAGCAATCACACAGAGGAGAGAGAGAGGGGAAGAATGACAGAGAGATGGCAAAGAGGGAAAAATAAACATAGCAAGGGAAAAGGGTAGAGAAAGGGCCGATAAAGGGCAGAAGAGTGAGACGGGGAGAGAAAGAGACAGAGAAAGAGAGAGAGACCTAACTCTTTTGAGTCCAGCAAGTTAAAGCTAAACTGCTGACTGGGAAGTTAAGTTTTTCTATCTGTGACAGTGTCCTCTAAAGCACACACACACACGCACACAGCTGGTCCCCTTTGACACTGGATCTCAGTCAATATACACACACACTCACCCGCACACGCACCATGTCATTATCGTTGTTGGCATTGAGCAGTCTCTCATGCTGCCAGCCACCTTACCACATACAGCTGTTGCAGACACACAGACACACACACACACAGCTGGTCCCTTTGGCTCTGAACCTCTACTCAGCTCAGTGAACCGGGTCGTAATCATCAGGTGTCACATTAAGAGGACAGTCCTTCGCTAGTTGCTCAGCTTTCTCCAAACTCAGCAACCAGGACTGTCACGTCATATTTGAAAAAGGTCAAACCTTTTAAACAGCTGATACAAGGTTTCTACAAGCGAGGAGTTTCACTCCAAATTGAGAAAACCACGGTTTAATAAAGTTGAACATTAGCCTGAATGTGCTTCATTCTGTCTTGAGGTCAGGAGGTCACTAAGACCATTAGGGTTCATTCTCTGGAGACCATGCAAAACACATTTTATGGCAATCCAACCATTAGTGTTAGTGTAAGATAACTGTTTGTGAAGGGGATACCGCAGAGGTGGGACCAAGTCATTGTTTTGCAAGTCACAGGTAAGTCTCAAGTCTTTGCACTCAAGTCCCAAGTCCTAAACGAGTTTTGAGTCCTAAAGTCATAGAAGGAAGATGGCAAGTATTTTCCAGTTCAAAAGGCCAAGTCCAATTGAAGTCATGAGTCATTGGTGTTAAAATCCAAGTCGAGTTGTAAGTCTTTTTTTAATTTTGTCCAGTCTAGTCTAAAGTCATCAAATTTGTGACTCAAGTCTGACTCAAGTCTAAGTCATGTGAGTCCATACCTCTGGGACAAGATAGTTCAAATTAAAGATCAGGAAGTCAATAAACCATCCACTTGGGACCATAAATCTGTTGAATTTAAATTTCCTGACAGTTGCTTCCTTTGCGACAATTATGATTCAGATTCCCTGTGCTTGAGGCTTGTTTGCCTACAAATAAATGATATAAAATAAATGATGAGTAAAATACCAATCTATGAATGTCTATATTTCAGCAATATTTTGTGTTCTAATAGATCTGATAAATTTGACTTTTTGAGTGTATTTGTTCCCCTACTCTGTTAAGACTTTAAGGCGCTGTACCATGTTAAACATTGACAATATGTTGCTGGTAAATTGTTGTTTTGCTTTATGACACAGATCTTCCAATACAAACTGAGACTATAAAACTTTCAAAGTGTCTTGCTGTGGGAAAGAATTAAAGGCCATAGGGTAAATCATTCCCAACATGTTTATCGTCTTCAGTAATTACCTCGACGATGGTCTCATTTGTGTATGGTAATTATATTAAGGTATCATAGTTAATTTCACATTGATAAATTAATGTTGGCATCTTTAACAAAGTGTCCAAAGTGTGAAGTAACCAGGCCCCAGAGGCACTTAGTGTAGCTGGGACGGACAATTGAAACTTAATTTCATATCACACAATTTTATGTACATTTTCTTTTTTAAAGAATTTCAGATGTCATCTTCCAGCACATGTAGGAGTAAACTGCAACTCAGAACAACATGCATCTAAGAGTGACTTGAGGAAAGAGTATTGGAGACAGACAGGGTGGGAGTAAGGCAGCAGGATTAGATTAAAGCAGACAGAGAACGATGGAAATATGCTTGACCTATCTCGGTCCCCTCTTCCTTCATATGACCAACTTAGCTACTGCTTTTACACACACTGTTAACCCTTCTCACCCTTTGAGCATGTAAGTGTGTGCGTGTAGGTGTGTGTATATGTGTGTGTGTACTTCTGTAGACTGCAGCCACTGTTACACAGCCTATTAACCCTCCTCTCCATCAGCTCGGAGAAAAGGCTGATAATGCTCTTCTGTGTGTGTGTGCATGATGACCTCAACTGCACATTATCTGCGTGCTTTAACAAGACAGACACATTTATAAATGAACTGTTTCCACACCTTGTTTTCTTTCCTTTTTGCTATCATTTGAAGCTGCCAGAGAATATGTGTAAAGGTTAGAATGGCCCTCTCCTCCGGTCTCTTGTTCTATGTCTTTCTGTTGATCTTTTTTTGCACTCTTATTCTGAAAAATAGCTTTACATGCAAAACCTTTGAATTAATAAAGACATAAATAAAATGTTTCTATCACCCTTTGTCACCAGGTGACCTGTGTGAAGAGGTGGTTGATCATTGTCTCCATGGTTTTGACCCCTGTCAGCACGACTCAAAGTGTGTCAATGTTGGCCGCAGTTACAGGTGAGTGACAGCTTTGCAAGAGGTCAGCACTTAACAGGGTCAGAGGTCACATCACTGAAAGTGACAGGAGGCAGGGAGGTCAAAAAGTTGAAAGCAGACTTTTTTTGTGCAACATGGAGAATCAGAACAGTCATCGCTGCTCTGCAATAGGAATTTTTGATTAGAGAAATATGCAACCAGACACACACAAGAAGACAGATGGAAACATAGAACAGAACACTTTTTTGAGAACCTTTTTTTCTCGTAAAACTGAAGCACGTAAACATGTAGTTTATCCAAGGGTTTGTAATAAAACTTTCCCACAGATACATGCAATCCTTGGGCTATAGTCATTACTTTTGGGCAACATCTCAGTATTCTCTCGTCATAATTTTTGCCCCCACTGCGTTAATTTTCTGTTGTCATGTAAAAACTGTGTACCTCAAAACTAGATTTTTGTGTTTTAACCTTTAGATAAATTCTGTAACCTTTGAGCTCAATGTAGCTTTTCATAAACCATCAAATAAACTGTAAAATGCTTTGTCACCAAACTAAACTAAACAGGCTTCAATCTTGGAAAGTTTAGACATTTTACTCATTTTAATACATTTTTATTATTGTGCCATGGAGTATACTTCCACAACAATCTATGCACACGCATTCATGCACAGCAGCCCACACAAATATATTTTATAAAACAATACCATTTGCCTTATTCTCCTCCAGAACTCATCAATTACTGCCCATACGTTTAGCAGCTCTAGCAGCAAGCAGCTTGTAGAAAATAAAAGATTTTCTTATGAATTTGGATATCTTTTTCTAATACCATATTTTCCTTGTAGACTTATCCAAAGGTGAGTATAAAGTTTGGTGTCCTGGTAAAGACTGCTGTAGCAGGTGTTATTTCTAAAAACATGGACTGGTAGTCACTTGTTGAAAACTGTCACCTCTTCGTACAGTGAAGCATCTGTAATCATGAGGTAAAGCCTGTTAGCCACACACACAGTAATCTCATCCATATTTCCATGTCACTCTAGGTGCGAGTGTTTACCGGGCTATGTGGGCCAACACTGTGAGCAGGACTATAATGATTGTCTGGAGAATAAGTGTCAACATGGAGCTGAGTGTGTGGACGCTGTCAACGGCTATACCTGCGTCTGTAAAGAGGGTTTCAGGTGAGAGTCATGGAAACATATCATCAGCAAATCGCTTGAACACACACAAGCACAGTGACACATTGCAGGGCCAGACTGGGAGGAGATACAGATGGCGCTTCATAATCAGACACTTGACTGTATGGACTCACTGTGTGTGTGTATGTGTGTGTGTGGGTTGTGTGTGTGCAGCAGATGCAGCTCCATGTGGTTAATTATAGCAGAGACTGTTGGCATGAGAGAAACAAATTCATCACAAGGGACAGAAAGAAGAGAGAGAGAAAGGAAGTCATGGCCATGCAGGAAAGAAATAGAAGAGGAGACAGCAGAAGAAAGACAGATACTGTAGGGAAAGGTTCAAAGATGTAAGAAGATACCGTGGAAAAAACAAGTACAATGTGTTTGCCGTGTCATGCTGATTAAACATGTCCATTTCCTTCAGGAATATTACCTTTCCAACTTCACCAGTGTCATTTGCAAATATAATGTAATGAGGCAAAATACAAAACAAGTCCCAAACTAGTTTTATCAGGGGAAATGACACAACAAATCACCCCATTAAAGCTCTATGAATAAGTTATCTTGTGTTTAATCCACCCCTCTCTCAGCGGGCTGTTCTGTGAGAACCCTCCGCCAATGATCTTGCTGCAGACCAGCCCATGCGACCAATCTGACTGCCAGAACGGCGCCCAGTGCCTGGTGGTTGCTGGGGAGCCCATCTGCCGCTGCATGCCCAGTTTCTACGGCAACAAATGTGACAAGATGGCCACCGTTCACTTCCTGGGTCGGGATGGGTACGTGGAGCTGCCGGGTGCGAAGCTCCGTCCCACCGCACATATTTCATTACAGGTATGGTCAACATTTGACATCTGCTAACAAAGTTTTGTTTTTCAAGATGTAGAAATCCAGCACTCATGTATGAAATAACCTACAAATACAATGAATTGTGTTCTGGTTTCCTCAAGAATAAAGAGCTCTATCTTGTAAAGTATGTCAACCTTTGAAAGTACATAATATGTATTCTGCTGCACTACATGGAAAACATTTTTAGGCTGCTTTAAGTAAAGCTGTGAGCTGCTCAAATCAAGCCTATAGAGTTGCACGACTTAGTGCCGACAAAGCAAAGCAAACATCTGCTACACCCTCTGTTTCCATTGCGCACTGAACACTCGTGCTTGTGCACACACACAAACATTCACACAGAATATACATATTGGACACCTGAGAGTTATGTCCTAATAGAGACATATTTTCCTCCTTTTTGGAAATGAGAGTGCGAGTGGGTGAGAGAGAAACAAGAAACGGAGGGCAGTCTAATTGATATTTTCCACCTGTTTGGATCTGTGTGAGTGTGTGTGTGTGTGTGTGTGTGTGTGCGTGTGCTTCTGCGTTCTTGCCAGGAGCTTTCAATGTCAGTGCCAAGGCTGTTTAAACCCTACCAAGAGGCCCTGACTGAGAGGCAAGAGAGAGAAAATAAAAAAAGAAGAATGCAAGGGCCACAGCACTTCATAAATTACTGGATTTTTTTTCTCTTTCTCTTTAACACTTTTCTGTCTACATCCCAGTTGTCTCTTTACCTACTCTTCTATATCTGTCTCTTCTTCCATCCCTCTACCCTCTCTCTCTCTCTCTCTCTCTCTCTCTCCCTGTTTTGTTCCCTATATTTCTCCCTCCTTTTCTCTTCTTGCTCTGCCTCGATCTCTTCTTTTCTCCAGCAGCTTGTTAGCAGGTGTTGACTTGGCTATGCTCCACTGAAGCCAAGAGTGTTAAGTGCTTGGCCCCTTGGCCCCATTTCCACTCGCTAGTTAGTTAGCGCTTAGCGGAGCACGCGAACAAGTGTGACATGTCAAGTGTGTCTGTGTGGGAGGGGGGGCACCAGTGACCTCGTTTAGGCATGTGTGTGGCAAAATGAACATTTTCTCCTCATTTTCATACAGTTCGTTAGGGTTAGGGTTAAACCTCCTGAAAAGTTTATTTTTCATCTCTCTTTGATTTAGAGATACATCAACACTTCTGCAGTCTAAAAACTAGCTCAGTGCCAGTTAAGGTTCTTTGCAAGGTCTGAGAAATGTCAGGGTAAAGTGGTGTAGATTTTACTAAGCCAGCCAACAGTGAAGTAGAACACAGTAGTGCCCAAAACATTTCACCTCATTTCCCAGCTTTTAAAAAGTTGAAAATGTTATAATGGTAAAAAAAATAACTGGTGAAAGAGTCAGTCAGTAGCTTATTTAGCTAAACCAGCTGAAGTATACCAGCAATGCAAGAAGGAAGGTGTTGAAGTGGAATGGTTTGTAGTAGCGTAACATCAGCTGAGATTATCAACAAACATATTTAATTTAATTTATATGAATCTGCTGCTTTGTTTGCTGTATAATATTGTATTATTTCTGCAATTTTCTTGATGAATGATATATAGTATGTCACTCATCAGCATCGTCTTGAAATGTATTTATTTCTTAATCGACAATTCTGTCTCACCAGGTGGCTACAGATAAAGACAATGGTATTTTGTTGTATAAGGAGGACCACGACCCCCTGGCACTGGAGCTGTACCAGGGACACATACGACTCATCTACGACATTGCCAACTACCCACCCACCACTGTATATAGGTAGGCCACACATACACAGAAACGTACTCTCGCACTTTCTTACCATCCATATTCAATTATGATTTTCTAAATTCATATACTATAGAATATTTAGCTGAAGGTCAGGTTTAAACATGGTTACGTACTTTAAAAGTTAAAACAATCCCACACATTCACTTATGTATGAACACTCTATAATAAAATTAAAGTTACATCATACTGGATTCACATGATTCAGGAGTTCATGGTAGTTTAAGTGCACTTCAAAAATCACAAAGCATACACATACAAATCACAAATCACATACACATAGAGTGTATGGAGAAAAAACTCAATTGCTACTCAGATTCAACATGGGTTAAATATTGAAAAAAGTGAACACATTCACTCACATAGACATGTATTTTAAATTACATATTTATATCTGTTGAATAGGGTAATGTACTGAATAACATTTACAAGGTTAAAGTCTTACAGAGCTTCAAGGTAGCACAAGGGTAGAATATAAAAAGTATACGAATATATAGTACACACATACACATACCAACAACTAAAGGCTTCAAGGTTTTTATAGACAGTACTTTAAGGACTTTTCAGTAGGTGCTGAAACCAGAATGCTCTCTCTCTCTCTCTCT